CACATATAAATAATTTATTTATTTTTATGTTATGTTCATTGGTGTTTTGCCTGCATGTATGTTCGTGTGAGAGTGTCAGATATTGGAGTTACAGACAACTATGAGCTGCCATGATGATGCTGGGATTTGAACTCGGTTCCTCTGGATGAACAGCCAGTGCTTTTAATTGCTGAGCCATCTCTCCAGTCCTGGAGTTAGAGATCTTGCAGAACTCTGCTGGTCCTCATTAGAAGGTGCAGCACACCCCCTTTCTCTCACTAGCCCCCAAAACGAATCAAAGAGTTTCAGCATTTTTCCAAATATTTCCAGGATTTTTCCCTTTATGTTTAGGCAGGAACACAGAGAGTTTGAGTGGATATAGATTTTAATAGTGGTATATGAAGGTAGGAGGAAAATAATGTTGAACAAAATTAAACATATTGATGTGGGCTTACTAAACCAAGGCTCTGGATTCAGTAGTTTCATTTCTGAGGTTAAAAGAGCTTTTGACAGCTCGATGGTTAGTGAGCGGAAATATGGCCCAAGGGTGATTTATTCTAAATTAAGGACACATCTCAGACAGAACTTGGCCTAGTCACAGAAAGATAATCTGAAGCCTAAATGAGATTGCAGCGTTAGTGATTTAACTGCACAAAGAACTGCTTGGCCACCTTGGGATGCCCTGAGGACACGACTTTATAATGATTTTCTAAGTAGAGCCCAGGTACCTCTCTAATGACTATTCCATTTGCCAGAAGTTGCTGTGGCTTTGCCCTTGAGGAAGAACCATGCATGCTACACTGCAAAATGATTACTCTGTTACTTGTTGTTCCCCAACCCATGCCAAATTACTAGATTAATGATGTGTTGTAGAGGTAGTGGATTATTCAGGTGTCTCCAGAGAAATCAGAACATACTGGGTGGCAGGGAATCAAGGACAGCCTGGCTGTAAGTTCATGCTGAAAAGAAAAAACCCTTCCAGTCTCCTCTGAGATCCCAAAGAAGCTCTCCTAACCCAACTCTGCCTTGTAGGCCTAAACTCTAATCAGACTTCCAACTATGCTGTCTGCCTACATATGGTGTTGGGGCTGAACTTCACTTAGGCCCTGGCTGTGCTACTGGTTGTCTGTATGTCCATGGCATTAATAAGTCTTTTAGTAAACGTAATGCTCAAAAGGATGTTTCACCACAGTATGCCCCCCATGAACCTCCAAAGCTAAGACCATTTACTCAGCATGACTGGATGACTCCAAGCCATGTCAAGAAGATGCTATAGTTTGAATGTGTCCCTTGAGGTTTACTTTCTAATGCAACACAGTTGAGAGGTATAACAGTTTTTCTGGTTTTGAAAATATATCATGAGAGTATCTCGATTCCTAGATGGATTGTCAATGTTAGAGTGGGTTAGTGATCAGCAGGGTAGGTTGGTTTTAAAAGTGAGGTGTCTGGATGAGGTTGGCTAATTGCTGGCGCACATATTTAGTGCCAGCACTTAGGTAGGAGATTTCTTCAAGCTAAGGTCAGCCTGGTCTACATAATGAATACTGGGCCAGTCAGGGCTACATCATGAGACTCTGTCTCAACATAATAAAATACAACAGAGTGAGGCTGGCCGTCTTTCAGTCCTTCTAGCCAGATGCTGCCTTCTGGCATGTTGTGACACAGCAAGAATGACTTCATCAGATGTGAGCTCCTGAACTTGGACTTATTAGCCTGTAAAACTGTAAGAAGTAAATTCCAGCTCCTTCTAAAATTCCCAGTGTTAAGTATTTTGTTAAGGAAGCAAAATATGGTTTAAGACCAGGGCAACCTACTCACCAATCTAGTTCAGAACTGTGACAGGTACACTCAAAAATAATGTTGTATCTGGACACCCCCACAGTGCAGTCAGAGAGAACAAAATTATCATGGGAAGTCATCAGAATTCTGAGATTATTTGATACCATCCCTGAAGTAACACCCGTTTCCATAGAAGCAAAATGTCACTGTGGCTCATGGGTGAAAGTAGAGATCGTATGATCAATTCAGTTGTACTTACTTATATCCATCTCTGATTGGTCCTGAACTCACCCTTCAGTTATTAATAACCTGAAACTCAGAAAGCTATCACTAGAATAGACATTCAGAAAACAGACATCATAGATTGGTGGGAAAGGACTATTTCGATATGGAAGGCCTAGTGGAAACCACTAGAACTGCATACATATAGTAATAGCAAACTAAAAATGGCATCATTCATAGGAGGGATTGTGGTGCTTTGTGAAACTGTTGACAATTAAAGATGCAGGTTGTCGATCCTCATACCATGCATCTCAGAGAATGACCACAATGATGATAACTGTAATCAGATGATTATTTCAGGAACCAATATGATTCTCTAAGAGGCTTCCTTGTTTTCACAATCAATGTGTTGCTGGGCACCTGATAGTCACAAGGACAAGTTTGACTTTACTTGAAAAGTCAATGTAGCATCACTTCATGTGTGCAAGCATATGTGAAGTATGTGTATATACATGTTCATATGTGTGTGCATGTGTGTCTTTCTCAGTTACTCTCTGCCTTAGTTTTTGAGGCAGCATTTCTCACTGAACATGAAGCGTGCCAGTTCAGTTGTACTGGATAGCCAGAAAGCCCCAAGGATACTCCTGTCTCCACCAAAGCATCAATGGGATTATTGGTGTAAGCCACTGTGCCTGGTTTTTGTGTTGGTTCTGGGAATCTAAAGTCAGGCCTTCATATTTGTGCTTCAAGCCCTTTATTCATAGAGCCATTTCTCCATGCCCTGTATCACTTCTTACCTCAGGTTTACACCCTAAAGCAGTCCTTAGCGGTCTTGCTTACCAGCATATAGCATCATTCCTTTGGATTGGTGTATTATTCTCATTGAGCAGGAAATGGAAACCAATCCAGATACCCCAACAGCACACTTGCTGGATAGAACATGAGAAATCATTCCGGAAAAAAAAAACCAGAGCCTTTGAAATGAGTGACACTTGGGTGATCACATAATCTAGAGCATATCAAGATAGTGCTTGTAACACGAACAAATACCCGCATCTTGGCTTTCAAAGGGGACACAACAATTTACCTCAGGGTTGTGTGATGCAATGTTGAGTAAGAATCTGCTAGTAGAGCAGGGCCCAGAAAAAAAGTAGTTTTTCTTGTATAGCGTCTGTGGCTTCAGGAATAGTTCTCTGTGGCCAGTTGATAAGGAAAACAAGAAAACAACTAGGCTAAAAAAATCATGTGTGACTTTAATCACTAACAACATGTAGGCAGCACCTATATTAGTTTCTTCACTGCTACATAACAAACTACTCTCACTCAACAGCTTAAAGCAATAAAATATGTAAATGAGAAGTACTATGGGTCTCTGTTGGGAGTCACACAAAACCAACCTTGAGGTTTCAATCAAGCCCTGACTCACTAGAGACCTCAAGAAAAATCACTTCCAAGCTTACTCTGGTTAGTGGCAAGTCCAACTTCCCAAGGTTGTATGCAGGACAAAACAACGTTGGAAGCTACTAGGACCACACTAACCTTTGGTGAACATTCTTAAAGCATCCACACTGTTCCAGGACATGGTGTCCGGTTGGATATTACATAATAGCCTGTGAAGATGAACTTCCATGATCAATCACACTGCTCAATACCTAATCTCCCCACAGGGGAAACGACAGTCACACTGCATAAGATACTACATCCCAGAGTGAGTACTTGGCTTCCAGGTGGCAGGTCAATGATTTTGGAAGCTGACCAAAAGAAGGAGAAGGGCAGATTTGTTCTTACTCGTACATAGAGATTTATTCAAGGCACAGACTTCCTTTTCTAGCCATATTATCAAGAGAACGCCAGCACTCATAGACCTAAGAAATGGCTTCCTGACCATTATGGCACTCCATACAGCAATGTCATTAAATTGGGAGATGGCTCCAGTGTACATGCTGTTGACATGCACTGCCTCATTGTGTTTCCTACGACTGGAATTGACTGGTTCAAAACAGGGGTGAAATTATATTTTTTTACAGAGTCTTATTTAGTCTGGGTTAGCCTTGACACTAGCATTGCAGCCAAGGATAAACTTCAAACCCTGATTCTCCTGCTCTTACCTCCCAAACTCTGGGATGACAAGTATGTGCCAACATTCCTAGCTAAAATGACTACGAGTGAAGAGTTGCTTGTGTTTCTAGCTCATAGCACTGCCTGTGGAATTGGATAGGTAGGACCTAGGAGCTGGCAAGTCTCTCTTTTGCTACTAAGTGTAAGGAGCAGTTTGTATCATAGCCTCATTTATGTCTTCGGTGATGAAGGGAGTAATGTGAGGATCCAACTCCACCCGCTACTCCTAGTGGTATAACACTGAACCCATGTTTCCTATTCTGACAGTTTTAGACACTGTTAGATCACCTTTTCAAGGAGATCCCAAAATGAATCCATTGACACGGACGCAGAAGTAAAAAGCTCATCACTATGGAAACCACATCTTTCTCAATCAACAACCATATGGAGGAGGAGTCTGTGACTTCTGGAATAATACTTGGTTATCACATGATACTTGAATGCACTTCAAGGGCTAAGGAGGATGGTATGAAAGGAGTGGAGTCCCTAAGTCAAGCACTAGGATCTGTCGAGCGGCTATCTCTGGACAATGGGATTAAGAAACGGTTGGGACACCAGGTACAGCAGCACACACTTTTACCACCCAGTACTCAGGAGACAGAGCCAGGCAGATCTTTGTGAGTTCTACATAGTGAGTTCCAGGACAGCCAGAGTTCTACAGTGAAGCCCTATCTCAGAAAACCAAACAACAACAACACAACAATCAAAAAACAAAACCAAACGAACAAAAAACCCCAAAGCAATACTTGGGAAAGACCACAGTTCTAAATACCAGAGATGACACTGGTGACCTGCTTCAGAATACAGACATGTCATAATATTTACCTGATATGAAATAACATTACTCAGCAGAGGGGATAGAAAAAAATCAACAGACCAGAAGTTATGCTTTCAAAAAAATGCATAGGGAAAAAGCCCATCTTTTATTCAAAGTAGTTTAAGACAGTTTTCTTAGAGGTACTTATCTTAGCTAATACATGCTAGGAGGCTTCAGTATCCCCCTGCTACATTCAGAAACACATTAAAGTATTTGTTGTATCTTGCTGACCACAGTAATAACAGGATCACACACTTGGGTGTAGATCATCGTTCTTGAGAGAGCTTTCTGGCATTAATTTTTCCAGGATCTCCTTGAGATAATGTATTAAGTGGTGTCTTTTAAATCTGAAAATAAACATAAACACCATGTAAGAAAAAGACACCCAAAGCACCTGTGTCGTAGGAAGTGCTGTGTGACCCAAGGCAGGAGCTCACCATCTGTGGGAATAGTCAGTACATTGCAGGTACCAGGTACTCTAGGCAATATGAAGGGTGTCTACTGAGATCAGTGCCCAGCTCAAGACTACCATGACAAAGGTGGGTTGAGTAGGCCTGGAAGGATGTGTCCAACACAAGTGACATCAACCTAGATGTCTACGTCATCAGCCTTAGCTATAAAGTTGGGCCAGGGACTAAGACTCCAAGCAGGCGCTGTTCTCCACCCCTCACCCAAGCACTGCGTGAAGATCTGCGGTGCCCCTGTGCGCCCACCCACCTTGCCGCTTCCTTGATGGTGAACTCTACCAACTCTTTCCGGGCTTCCAGAGGTCCCTGCACTTCTTCAAGCAGCTTGAAAATCCTTCCATATTCTAGAGACAATGTAAGAATACTTGAGCATTTCCCAGAAATGAAGAAATAGGGCTGGATCTTGGTGGATCTGTGTGTACCTCAGTAATACGCTTTGTGGTCAGGAATGCTAAATGGTGGGTATGTGTTCCAAATGCCTCTGCACAGAGACGGACACAATCCTTATGAGCAATGACCAAGCAACATTACAAATGAAAGCCAGAGACTACTGAGATATTTCAGTGACGATGACTGTAGGCAATTGTATAGAAACTCTGGGTTGTGGCAAAGGCTGGATCTCCTGAGGCAGCTTCAGGTTATTCTGATCACACAACTAGAAACACCTGCCTTGTCTTTGCTACTAGCCATTCTTTGAGTACTTACGGCGTCCATAGCGTCGGATTTCTGACATCAGGGCATGTTTTATTTCATAATTAGTTACAGTTCGGTTCCGTGGGGACACATAGGGGCCAGCTTCCGATGAAGGTGTTGCTGGTGCAGTAGCAGTGTCTGCAGAGTTGTCACGGCTAACACTTCCCCCTGCAACTGTGACATCATCTTTGCGATGAAGAGAGTCATCAGGCAGAGAACCACGTGGACTTGGGAGAATGGCTTCTCCTGCCACAGGATTAAGCTGGTTTTCGTCACATTCTTTCAGGTAGACTTTGGGTGACTTGGAATCACCCTCCATCGTCCCCACCTGGGCTTTCTGGATAACAGTAGCACCTGGAAAGCAAGGTAGCAAATGGAGCTGGGAAGTGGGTGAGCTCGCTGGCTGCACATGTCTGCGCTCCTCAAGACCTAAAATTATTGCAGAGGAGAGTACACCAGAGAAAAACCTCAACCATGACAAACTGACCCCAGGATACAGTATAGAAGAGCATCACTGCATTCCTGTGGCTCCATGATCATATGCACAAACTAGTTGGACAGGACAATGAAGAAACAACATACATCCTTGGCGCTCTCATCTTAGTGTCACATTGATATACTTGTTTCTATTTTTTTTTTTTTTGGTTTTACGAGACAGGGTTTCTCTGTATTATTTTGGAGGCTGTCGGTCCAGCCCGGCCTGGAACTCACAGAGATCCGCCTGCCTCTGCCTCCTGAGTGCTGGGATTAAAGGCGTGCGCCACCACTGCCCGGCTCTAATTTAAATTTTAAAAAGGAAAAAAAGGATACTGGCCACTCTTCCTGAGGACCCAGGTTTGAGTCCCAGCACTCACATGGCTGCTCACAACCATCTGCAACTCCAATCCCAGGGGATCCCATGCCCTCTTCTGGCTTATGTAAGCAACAGGTACACAACTAGGGCATAGATACACACACAGGAATAACACTCACACACAGAAAATGAAATAAGAAATCCCAGAAAGTTGCCCTTAATAAAGGGGTGGCTGTCTACATCAGAAGCTGCTGAGAAGCGAATGTCAGTGTCATCGCAGAGCGCTGATGTTCACAACAGTTTTGTGCTGTGGATGACTCAGAAGGCATTACAATCTGGAGGAAAGGGGAGGGGAGGGGGAGAAGAATCACAGCCAGGTGGGAAGAGCATCTGCCCCCTTTAAGATCTTGTCCTATGATAGCTGTTGCTCTCCCTGCAGCAACTCCCAGCACTTTCATCATTTCACATGCTTTCTTCAACTTATAAATACGCTCGTATGGAGATCAAGTTCACTATCTATAACCATCCTGGAGCCTTCATCCAGTGACTGATGGAAGCAGAGGCAAACACCCACAGTTAAATACTGAACAGAACCCAAGGAACCCAGCGACAGAGAGAGAGGAGCGAAGAACAAATTGGCAAAGAATGGGCTGGCAAACCAGCAGAGACAGCTGATCTGAACAGGGGAGAGCTCTTGGACCCCAGACCGACAGCTGGGAGGCCAGCATGGGACTGATCCAGACCCCCCTGAATGTGAGTGTCAGTGAGGAGGCCTGAGCTACCTATGGGGTCCTTGGCAGTGGATCAGTGTTTATCCCTCGAATACTAACAGACATCCTGTGTCCATAACACAAAGAGGGATGCTCTCTCAGCCTGAACTCTTAGGGAAGTGCCTGGACCCTACCCTGAGTGAAATGATAGACTCTAGATATCTCCTATGTGGAAGGAATTGGCAATAGGGTGGGAGGATGGGGGGGGATGGGGGAGTGCGTGAGGAGGGGAGGGAGAGGGAACTGGGATTGACATGTAAAACAAGCTATTTAAAATTTGAGTCTACTCAACAATGATATATTTACCTTCTCCCTTCGCCTTGATGGGAGCTTCAAGAGATTTATTTGACGCCATATCCATGGTGTACCTTTTCTTTGGTGATGGACCCATGGCTTCTCCTTCTCCAACAGGGCTAACTTTCTGTTTAGACATTGTGTGATGCTCCTTCTTTCAGAGTTCTTGCCCTAGAAAACAGCAATGAAAATATACTACTTCCTGGGTGTGGTGGTACACACATTTAATCCCAGAGCTCAGCAGAGGCAGGTGGATCTTTGTGAGTTCCAGGCCAGCCTGGTCTACATAGTGAATTCCAGGACACCCGAGGCTATGTAGAAAGACCCTGTCAGAAGAAGGAGGAGGAGGAGGAGGAGGAAGAGGATGAGGAGAAGAAGAAGAACAACAACAACAACAAGAAAGAAAGAAAGAAAGAAAGAAAGAAAGAAAGAAAGAAGGGAGGAAAGAAAAGCATAAAATATAATATTTAACAAACTGCAACCACCACAACATTGAAAACATAGGATATGTCTGGGATAAGATGTGGTAAGAAGTTTCCTCCAGGTGACACTGAAATAAGAAGAGTCAGGAAAACATAGAAATCCAATAATTGTGAAAAAGCAAATGTGGCTAAATCTATAAATACCACAATGTTTCAAATGGACAAAGAATTCTACAGTACAGTTTTAGAAATTATCCCTAAGCTTAAAGAAGCAATTAAGAAGTGAATTCCTGAAGCAGATGAAAAAAATGGCAACTGAAATAGAGATCCTGGAGAGACAGAGCCAAACAGATTCCTTGGAAATGCAAAGACTGATGCGTCAAGCAAAACATTTAACCAAGAGAGTTTTCAACTTGTGGGTTGCTACTCAAACCACCCTTTCACAGGAGTCTCCTGAGACCATCAGAAAACACAGATGTTTACATTATGATTCATAACAGCAGCAAAGTTACTGTTATACAGTAGCAACAAAAATAATTTTAGGGTAGGGGGGTCACTAAAACACAAGGAACTGTATCCAAGGGTTGCAGCATTAGGAAGGCTGAAAAGCACTGCTGTAGACCAAGCATAACAAAAATTCCAGAAATTAAAGACAAGATTGAGGAATTGCTTTCACATAGCATGCAAACAAACAACAACAGCAGCAAACCCCCACAGCAATCATGACTACAACTTTCAGGAACGCTGGGACACGCTGAGGAGACCAATTCTCTGAAATTTTGCCTTAAAAAAAGGATCCGGCTGGGTGTTGGTGGCGCATGCCTTTAATCCCAGCACTCGGGAGGCAGAGGCAGGCCGATCTCCGTGAGTTCGAGGCCAGCCTGGTCTACAGAGCGAGTTCCAGGACAGCCTCCAAAACAATACAGAGAAACCCTGTCTTGAAAAACCAAAAAAACCAACCAAACAAAAAAGGATCCGGGTTACAATCTAAGCTCCTACACTACTCCGTGGAAGTCCGGCAGAAAATCCCCCCAAATCATGGGAAATATGTGGCTATGCAAGTAAAGGAGGAATTTGCAGCTAGACATAATCAGAGAAGTGCTTCTCCATGTCATCTCAAGGTTCTAATGTGGAACAGAACAAACCAAAAAAACTGGAAGCTGCATGACAGAAGATCCAAGTGAGACAGGAAGGCAAACTCATCAGGGCATCAAGATACTTCTTGTAGAAATACTAATGGACGAGAACCACAGGCTGACATATTTTAAACCTTAAAAGTCAGTAATTATCAACCCAGATTACTATGCCCAGTAGATTCATCCTTTAAAATCAGGAGAAATGAAGTCCTTCTACAATCAGCTTGAACTAAAACAATCCACCACTCCTCAGATATCCTGAAAGAAGACAGTAAGGAAAGAATACTACACCCAGAAGAAAAATATTCACAGCATCATGAGAGTGTGAGGAAGAAAAAAAGACATCACTGTCAGAATAGAAAAACCAACAGCCCATTTGGGAAGGGGCTAACATTTTTACCTTAGTGAAGACAAAGCTTTAAGATGGACAAGGAAGAAATCGGTACATACCTTGCTGTGATTGCTCTAAATATAAACGTTACCTCTCCAGAAAATATGCAGCCTGAGGGTTGGGGAGACGGCTTGGTGTCTAAAGTGGCTGCTGAACCAGCACGTGTACCTTAGAAACCATCAGGTACAATGGCATGCATCTGTAACCTCAACACCGGAAGTCAGAGTGGCAAAAACAGGACAGTCCCTGGGGCTGGTTGGCCAGCTGGTCTAGCCAGATCAGTGAGGTCCATGTCCACTGAGAGACTCTGTCTTTAAAAACTAAGGTAGAAGGCACTAGAGGAAGACACCTGACGTCATTCCCTGGCCTCTACATGCACAGACATGCACAGGTGAAGACACCTGCATAAAAATGCACAGCCACTAAAAACTAAGCAGAACTGAGAAATGCTAAGAAAAAAGAAAAACAAGATTCCACTGTGCCCTGTCTCCAAGAAACTTACCTCATTGTCAAAAGACAAAACGTGAAAGTTTGGAATATTGTATTCCACGCAAACAGAATCTACATACAAGCAAAAGCAGCTATACTCTTATTTGGAAAAGCTGACTTCAAGACAAAAACCGCAAGAACGGATAAAGAAAATCACTGCATCTTAATAAAGAGGACAATCCATCAAAAGATCTCACACTGTAAATACACAGGCAAATGTTGGAGGTATTAGGGGACTTCACGGAGTGCTTTAGGGCAATAGTGAGCTCACGTTTGAGTTCTCTACTTCTCCCTGTGTCTTTCATCCGTCTGATTGCAGTTTCTGATCTGGGGCCTGTCTGTTGTCTGTCTGCCACATGTATGGTGCTTGACTGTCCCTAACAAAGGGCTTTGTTCTGTATTTATTTAATAGCACAGAAAACATAGTATGAGAAAGGAATGAGAAATTCTTTTCTACAGAGATCTTTAACCGAGTTTTGCAAGGGAAGAAGTTACTTTACTGACCCAAACTTACCCATAATAGCATTCAAACCTGCAGAGAGCTGTTATCAACCATTATAACCACATGCTGCTTCCAACATTTACGGGACATTTGTCATGTAAGGTTGCTTTTAACTTGTTAGCTGCTTTCAGCATATGATTCCCACAAGATACACACATACATTATCCTTGATCAGGGGCATGGAAGCATACATACTTTAACATTAAAGCTATACATTTAGTAAAGGCTGATGACATGGAAAATCTAGGACGTAGGAATGCTGGTTACACTGCTTTCTCAAAGTCAAGTTAAACAGGCTGAGTTCACAGTAGAATGAAAGGTTATATATGTAGTTTCAAATAATCTCAAGACATAGCATTAACTTGGTTAGAAGATCCGGAAAAAGTTCAGTGTCTTGAAGCCAGAGGTATTTTCTATTCCCACATTGGTGCAATCAGTTTCACAGATCAAGAAGTACTAGACATGAGGGGTTAGGGAGGAGTGACTGACTTCAACACCACATTTCATCAATTAACAGACCATGGGTCTGCAGTATAGCTCAACTCACACAAAGTCATTGTGGTGGGAGGAGAGAACAAACGCCCAACTTCTACACATTCAATGTGACTGTCAGTAAGTAGCAAAGCATGAAATCCAAATTCAGAAATCAGTGGCTTTGTTACACAATGATAACAGAGTGAAAATGAAGTCAAGGAAACAATTCCATTTCAATAGCCTCCATATACACCTAGGGATAAACCTCACCAAATAAATAACAGAGCTCTGCCATGAAAACTATAAAAGACTGAAAAGATAAATTTAAGAAATTGCTAGCTGGAGAGATTAAGAACATTAACTGCTCTTTCGGAGAACCAGGGTTCAAATCCCAGCACTACATGTTGGCTCACAGCCCTCTAACTCCAGTTCCAGAGGATCCAACATGTATGTTCTGCTGACCTCTACAGGCAGCAGACCAGACACACATGTGGTGCACAAACACTCATACCCAGAAAATAAATAATACATTTTTAAAATGTTCAAAACAAATGCTAGAAGATGGAAAGACTTCTCATGTGCAAGGGTTAGTTGGCAGATATCATGTTCATAAAGTCGCCATATTACCTAAAGTGATGGACAAGTTCAATGTCACCCCCCACCAAAATTTCAGTGGTGACACCGTTCACAAAACTAAAAAGAACTCTAAAAATCTAGATGGAAGCAGAAAAGACACCAAATAATAATATCAATCCTAACTAAGCAAGAGCAATACTGGAGGCATCACAATTCCTAAATTCAAATTATACTACAGAATCACAGTGAGAAAACAGCCTGTGCTGGCACCCAGAGGGAGAGAGACAGGGAGGGGAGGCAGGATGGGATAGGAGAGAGAAAGAAACAACAAGACAGAGACAGAGAGAAAGAGGAGAGAAGAGAGGAGGGGAAAGAGAGAGACATGATTAAACATTATAGGGGACCCAAGAAATAAGATCAATAAATACAACTATTTCTCAACAAAGGTGCCAAGAATACATAAATGGAGGAATGGGAGCCTCTTCACCAGGTGGTGCTTGACAAACTGAGTATCTACACGTACAAGACTCAAACTAGATAGACTGAAACTCAAAATGGATTAAACTATGACCTGAAACACTGAGACTGCTACAGGCAAACAGGAATAACACCTCAAGATATAAACACAAAGACTTTTCAAATATGATCTCACTGAGTCAGGAAAAAAAAGAAATGGCAGATGGTGTTGCATCCACCTGGAAAGCTGTATGCAGCAAAGCAAACAATTACCCGAGAGAAGAGATGGGACACAAGCTGGCGTCCGGGAAGGTGAGTGTAATCCAGTTTGGAGACGTAGGAAGGACTGCTGCAAGTTGGAAGCCAGTCTAGGCTACAGAAAGACACGCGGACTCCAAAGCAAATAAAAAAAAGCAAGACTATATAACCACGGGAACAGACGTGGAGAAGTGGGAGGGGCAAAATATTATGAAAAAACTTCACTTAAGTTTAAAAATAGAAGAGAAAAATCTGAATGTGTTTGTATTTGGTAAGATTCGTCAGGACAAAATTTGAAACCTTTGTATCCACAGGCTTCTGGTAAGGAGTCTTCTAAATATTTGGGCAAAAAAAATGTGTTACACAAATTATTTCATGAAACAGAAAAAGAAACATAAAAATTTCTAGCTCATTTTTTGAAGCCAGCAGAAGCTGACACCAACCTACATGATGGTGTGTGTGTGTGTGTGTGTGTGTGTGTGTGTGTGTAAGTGTGAAGGACAGAGGACAACTAGTGGCTTGTACCAGGTGAG